TGATCACGACTACCTTACCATCCTCCCCTGGTTCAGGGCCCATCAGGTAGCGGTACTGACAACGGTAGCAAGCAGCATGATTCTCCCGGGGCCATCTGTTGGCAGCGAAACAGAAATTTACGGACACCTCTCATACACGGCATGCGGCACGTCCACATACGGGAATGAGGGTCATATCAGACAAGCTTGGTTCTGTCAACAGTTGGATGAAGCCGATTCAGCATCTCGCTGGCATCCAATGAATCGATAAATAACACTCCTGCTGCTACAACCACAACCAGCAACTTTGGGTTTCCGGATGCATCTGCAACCGCGCTGCACTGGACTCCTAGTTGACCAACAAGTCGAGAGGTAGGCAAAAATACGCACTCTCAGCCAAGCACACCTATCGGTCAAGAAGTGGGGCCCGAGTCGAGTCGAGCAATCCGGCGTCGGCCCAACGTCACGTGTTGGGACTTCGAGAGGCATCCCAACAAGGGCCCGTGATTTTACAACGGCCCTGAACCCGTTCTGCCGGTGCAAGCAGAGGAGCCACCGAACATCGTTGACATGCCGCATGCGTGGCGTTGGTCCAGATTTTTCGATATGCCTCCTCTAACTTTAAATTCTTGGTTGCTGCAACCCATGTAGTGTTTCCCTTGGCAAGGTGTGCGAGACTGTACTTTGCCTGCCGCGGGTTGTTGACACTAAACATACCGCCTCTGCTTGGTTTCTTCTCTTACGCCAAATGCTGACATGCCTTGAGCTTCACCTCCGTTCGTTTTGCCGTGGCTCGACTGACTTTGACTCAACTGGCACCGACTCGACGGAAGGTTATTGTGGTTGCGGCGAATACAGAGCTGAGGCTTCGCACACAACACAAAATGCCGTATGTTGTTCACTCGTTTGATAACCAGGACCATCGCAGGTGAACAGATGAACAAACGACCAGCCTCTGGCGGGTACCGGGTGACTACGACGTCATTCGAACACAACCTCATGCACCACATTTGAGGGGGCCCGCCTTGTCCTCCCTGGATCTGGGGGATCGTGGCCGTCTTACCAAACACAACAGGAGGGGGCGCCTATGCCGGTGCGAGTGGGACGTCAAGCCAAGGCCTACCCAGCTTGCCTCCCTGACAGCCCACCATCCATCGTGAGCAATCTACCCCCATCCACCCCCACTCACACAAGTCGAGTGTTGTTCAGTTGAGCCGCATATCCAACCTCGCATCTCGCCGCGCTGCCTGACACTGCATCACGGCAGCTCGCCACCTCATTGAGTGTGACATATAGTGTATAAGGACACCACTTATGGCATTGCATGGTGACACAATGTGGAAACCTGTCCACCGATCGTGCCCTGCTAGAGGTGTGCTGTATCAGATCCTGACTAGATTTCTCATGGTCATGCACGGAAACCCGCATCATTGAGGGCGGCCTGTCTGCGTACGCACGGTAGTTCGGCCGATGTCAATTGCGCCAGGCTTCTGGCATTCGATGGTACACCATCGTCTGTGAACCGCAACATGTCCCACAAGTCAAGACCTGATACCCTATGACCATCCTTCTACCCAAACTCCACTGCCGCCTTCCACGCAAGACCATGACATGCCTAGATCTCAGTATCTTGGTTGAGAGGCTTCGTCTGTGAAGGGACGGGTAGCGGGTCAATAAGAGGCGTGTTCCGGGCTGTGCGGCCACCTTCCATGACATCAGTCGCTTTCCACGATGGCTTGGTAACTCTCATTCTCATGACAAGTAGCCTGCCCTTTGAGTAATGGCTGTAGGGTGGGTCCTTGATCATGTTGTATCACTCTATGGCTGATGCTGTACAATGGCGGAGAATGGTGTGAATTTTCCGAGGGCCTGCCCAGTGCGGGGGGGAGCGACGGTGCTTGTGGCGCTTCAACTTGGTCATTTCTAGTTGGGAAGATCCAGGGGGCTACGGTATGCTCAACGAGGTGAATTGGATCATTGGATGTTCGTGTTACACGACAGTCCAGCGGGCGGGTGGGTGAATTGGCGGGGAAGGGGAGGCAAGGGGGCACTGTGGCACACATGTCTGTTTTCTCAATTGCTAGGATATCTTGGATCTTTTCCAGAAGCCTGTCGTCTCAGCACTCTGCGGCTCGAGTGAGACAACAGGCCTGTCCGCCGCCGAGACTTTGCTTGTTCGACATGTGGCCGGTCATTGGTGACAATGTGTCAAATTGACCAGACGCACGCTCTACTCATACAACGGCATATTCTAGACTCCCCTTACAATACCATCACATAGTTGCCACAAAACGACCTGACTCTTCATGTTATCAAAGTGGTTGGAAGGTCACTGGAGATAGCAAACGCCAAGAAATTATGTCCTTCGCCATGTTTTCTTTCGGGTCAACTCCCGATAACGCAAAGCCCATGATCCTGGCGCTGAAGCAATACCAGGCTAGCCGGGCTATATGTAAAGTTACCCTCACAAGCCTCAGCAACACCAGGAATCGAGCCAGACTGGCTGAATGACGCTTCCCCTGTGTCAGCTCCAACCCCCATGGCACCGATCGACGTGCCGTTCGGCACTCATCCGGGGGCCTCGCGTGTCTGTAACCGAGACGACAGGACGCATCCCTGCCGCTGCCGCTGCCGCTGCCCCCCCCCCTTGCTGAGCATCACATCTTTTCTCCCTGGCAGCAAACCTAGCAGCCGCCACCCTCCCGGGTCCGAATGCATTGAAGGCGCGCCGCAGGGAGAGAACCGGCACATCTAGTTCTTTCGCAGTGGAGCCCAGGAGGTCCTTGTGCGACGTGTTGCTTGTCAAGGGGGGGAGAACAGGGGGACAGTAAAGGGGGGAAACGGGGGGAAACCGGGGGGGCAATACGTAGAAAGTTCACATCTTGCAGTAAGAGACGTCATCTAGTCGACCACGCATCATGCTGGGGTCACCTGCTGCGGGAGGGGCATGGCACGGGCCGCTTGGGACGACCTAAGAGGGTGTCGCAAGCAGCCTCAAGGTGGCGGACAGCCAGCAAGCAGCAAGCAACAAGCAACAAGCAAGCAAGCAGGATTCATTTCCCTCCCATAGCGACAGTGGCCTTGGGTGGAAGGAAGGGGGGAGGGGGTGGGCAAGGGAGAGAGACCATCGTCTGAGCTCACCGTACAGGGACTTTCCATCACGTACCAGTACGTTTGCTGCTCACCGTGATTTCCAAGACAGGGAAAAGGCGGTCCGCATTCTTCCGTCCAGAGAGCGCATTTCTTGGGTCCCGATGACGGCAGTTTCTTGACTGGACGTTGGCGGTGGGCGGCCTTGATGAGTGTGAGTTCCCGGGTGTGGAGGCGATAATGGCGGTGAAGGGGGGGGGGGAGGGGATGGGTTTGGTGCTGCGGGCGGGCAGGGATCCGAGCTCGGCGGTTGTGCCGCCGGTTCGAGGCACGTACTCTTTTTGCCCTGAGCCTGTTGATCTCTCATTTCTCTGGTGGGTGATAGTCGATAACATTGGATAGCCGTAGCCTTGAGCGCAGGACGGGGGTGGGAGAGAAGAAGGAAAGGGGAGGGGAGTGGGACTGAGTCTCTCAAACTCCCACCTGAGCACCGGGGAACATCTCGGCGAGAGGCATGACAGAGAGCGGAAGTGTCGACACTGATCCGGCCGAATTGGAGGGGGACACATGGATCTTTAGGCTGGGAGATCGCCCATCGACGGGGAGCTCGGAAGAGCCCGAACAGGATGGAGGATGCTTCTTTTCCGGTCAGGACCTTTGGGAAGTGTGCTTGCGGCTGCTGAACTGATCAGCTGCGGTGATGGCGCCCTAGGATCTTGACTCGATAAGAGTCGGAAGGGGGAGGCGAAGCAAATAGGATCGCACAGCCGGAGGCAAGCTCGAGGTTGGTGATCAATATACTTACAAGGTGCAGCATGGGGCGGTCTGTGAGCGGTCTGGGCGCGAAGATCTCACGTTGGCTGATCTTTCGTGGCTTCTGAGTAGAGATAGACAGCTCAAGGGCAAAAGACGCCAACACCGCTGGAGCTTCGCACAGGGGTGATATCACGCGAGCAGTGATTGCCGTCCATCGACTGGCCTTCGTCGCTGGAGCCAAGGGAGCCCAAAGCTGCCTCGCGTGGACTTGTGAACGTACGGAGAGCCCTGGATGGGAAACAATGGTGATAGAGGCATGAATGGTGCGACGCAAGGGCTGAAGACATGTGGACTCTGCGAAGAGGTACCACTGAGAGTCCATTGAGGTCTCAAATCGTCGAGCCATCAGTCGACGCCATTGCCGAAGACGAAGCTGCTAAACACGGCATCCCCGGATGGTCCATACACGTGTTTGTCAAGGTATGGTGAGCAACAGCAGACATCCAACGTGGCGTCGCTACGGAAGAGCTTGCCTAGGTCAATATCAGCCAATGTGCTCGCACGCCAGCTTCGTGAAGGCAGTAAATGACAGAGAAGGAAAGGTGTCGAACTAAACGTACATGGGTTATCAGCTGCGGAGGTCCGAGATCGTGGAATCAGCCAATAGCCGTTGGGACTCAACAACGTTCTCATCAATATATGTTGTAGCGAAGCAAGAGAACTAGACGTTGCAGGCAATTGTTGGACGATGACAGAATCGAGCTAGAGAGAGGAATCCCAAGAATGTACGACCATGTGGAGGCGTAACACATTGATCTGATCTACCTTGACTCCAGCTTCAACTGCTTGCTCCTCCATTGAACCCCCACGTGCTTTCCCCACGGAACCACCCCCACCAGTTGTCCCCATCTCATCCAACAGTCCATGACGACAATCACGGTTCACGTCTAGTTGCCTTCACAACAGCATCAATTTCCAGGCTACCAGGAACGTAGTTGATTTAGTGCATAAACCAGTCATCGAACTCAATAGTAACCGTCATGTGTGGTCGTTATGCCCTTAATCTGGTCAGTATTCAGCCTCATTTACGGCCGAATCCTACGTCGTCATTCTTACTGACGTGCATGCTCTCACAGAGTCCATCCCAGATACGCCGGATGCTTCAAGATGAAAACATGCCCGTTGACGATGCGCCGCCCGACGAGGGTGATGAGTCGCCGCGGCAGAGCTACAACTTTGCACCGGGCTACCACGGCATTGTGTACCGCGCAGACACATCTGCCCGCGGCGCCGGGTACCAGCAAGAGGACAAGCACACTTCAGGCCAGACGCAAGATGATGGAGTGGACGCAGTTTCTGCGCATGAAAAAGCGGCCGTGAGATATAAGCTGCAGTCGATGAAATGGGGCCTCATTCCATTCTGGACCAAGAGGAACCCCGACTATGGATCGATGATGAAGACCATCAACTGCCGTGACGATTCGCTGAGTACAGCAGGTGGCATGTGGAGCACCATGAAAGCCCGAAAGAGGTGTATTGTACTTGCGCAAGGGTTCTATGAATGGCTGAAGCACGGCAAGGAGAAGATGCCGCATCACGTCAAACGAACGGATGGCCAGCTCATGTGCTTTGCAGGATTATGGGATTGCGTTCGTTATGAAGGCTCGTTGTCCCGACCGATGCTTCAGACCATTGACCGCTGACGGCGAAACACAGACTCAGATCACGATCATTACACCTACACCATCATCACGACGGACAGCAACAAGCAGCTCAAGTTCCTCCACGATCGTATGCCTGTGATCCTCGAACCAGGCTCCGAGGACCTGAAGGTGTGGCTGGACCCTGGAAGACACGAGTGGTCAGGCGAATTACAGGCGCTGCTTAAGCCCTTTACTGGAAAGCTCGATTGCTATCCCGTCTCCAAAGAGGTTGGCAAGGTGGGAAACAACTCCCCATCATTCATCATTCCCATCGACAGCAAAGAGAACAAATCCAATATCGCCAACTTCTTCGCCAACGCCGAGAAGAAGCAGAAGACGACAAAAGCGAGCGTTGAGAGGGACGCCGAACTAAATGAGACTGATGATCACACCGCATCCAAGGCACAGGTCTCGCCGCAAAAGCAGCCGAACATTGTCATGACCGCCGATGATGGCCCAAAAGCCCTCCCCAAGAGAGCCGCATCTGATGATCTCGAGGATGAGAAGCCACCAATGAAAACGCCTGTCAAGTCGTTACCTCGGCCTTCGCGGCCTTCCAAGATTAGCGCCACCAGCAATAAGAAAGGCAGGGTGGTACAATCAGACAAGCAGCCGAACCAGAAGATCACCCGATTCTTCGGCAATAGTGCATAACTGCGACTCAAGCATAGAATGGTGTACACTGCACCGTAACGGCATCTATACCAGATGATACCATGAATTCTCAGCTTGAGCATTGGGTTCGCTGTAGACTAATGCCAGTTGGTGAGTTACCTAAAGCCTCAACATTCGCACCTCCGATGTACCATCCAAGCGGCAAAGCTGGATCAAGGCCTTGATCCTTAGAGCATCTTAGAAAATATTCCAAGTATAGGCAACCCCTACTGACATATCCTGAAAGTGTTTTGGAAGCATGTAGCCATCGCTCATGAAGTCCTCCAGCACCTAGCATGTCGACTACGTCAATCAGCATACAAGTTTATATCTACGATTCGTCGAACAACTCACAGGCTTTCCTCCAGGAACCTCGTACGAGCTGATGCCCTGGTAAATCTATCTTCGGTTTCAGTACGAATGCCGTGGTGATGGCCAATTGCGACAACCCAGCGAGAGGCACGACTCACATTAACCGTGTATCCCGGATCAGTCTCCTTGAAAGCACCAGGAATGTCCAACGTGGGGTTGAATCTCCCGGCGTCGGCAGAGCTACCAGTCACTCTAATCTGCGCGCAGCTCGTGTAGCTAGGGTTAATTAGTCGCCAAGTTCCATGTGGACGATGGACAACATGCGAAAACCTACAACTGCGGGATACCGGCTGGCCACGGGTTGTGGATGCCCAGCTGGCTCACCCTGAGGAGGTACTCTCCGTTCGGCAAGCATGTTGGGATCTGCCCTTCGTACGTCTCTGTGCAGAATCAACACCATCAGCCCGGAAAGAGAGTATCGCCTTGGGCTGCGAAACTTACGTCGAAGGGGCCATGTAGCTTGGCCGTTACTGAATGTCGGTCCAATATCCTTGAACTTGAGCCACTTTCCCGAGCCGTCATAGGCGCGAACGGAGCTCGGCGCTTTCGACAAGAAGCTGTGCCAGCATTAGCGCCCACGATGGAAATATTTCAACCCGGCGATATGCCTGGGCTGTAAAAGGCACGCCCCATGCGTGGATACATACAAGGAGATCGGGCCCTGGTGGTAGACGGCCGTGTCGAGGGTGAAGGAGAACGTTTCGCCAGGCTTGACGTCGATCACGGAGGTTTGGGCTCCGGAGGCACCTCCGACGTTACAACGAAGATCGGGCGAGGCAAGATCTGCGACCTGCGTCAACGGGGCCGAGGTCTTCAAGGGAGCTCACCAAAGACGGCGAAAGGGCTCTCATTACCAGTGACGGGATGGTTTTGGTTGGTGTTCTGTCGGATTCCCTCATAGACACCATATTTGGTAGAACCAACAGCGAATCGCTGGAAGATGTAATGGCCGGACGCCTGCGACACGGCCAGGCCGAGGACGGCAGCAATGGAGGAAAGCTTCATGGTGCTTTTGGTGGCAGCGAAGTTTACGATATGTGAATTGCGAAGCAGGCAATGGAGCGATGGGAGAGGATTCAGAATCCGTAGTTGAGTCTGGTATCTTTATATAAACAGAACAACCTTCTCGACAAGTAAGCTTGCACAGCGAATGTGACGGTGGCGGAAATCATTGCCGACATGGCCAAGGCCGTTCCCCATACTTTGTCTCATTCCATCCATAGATTAACGCTGGGATCCCCCCACGAGGGGGCCGTCCTCATGATGAGACCGGCGCATATTGCAATACTATGGCTAAAGACCACGACGGGTGTCACCCGGCCGGAGCCTGGCTTCCCGTACACAGCACCAAACTGCCACATGCGGCAGGACACTAGAAGAGAGCCCCCCTTCTACGGGGATTATCCTGCACTGCCGACTGACATCAGGCACGGCAAGTGCTATGTCTTGCAGGTCGATGTTTCAACGAGATGCTTACTACGCCAACCGTAAGGTTGCACTGCGTCAGTGACCATGACGGAGGCAATAGCATTCAGCATGGTATGAGTGGACGACGACCTGTGACTCATATTGCCTACCAGAAGGAGCGCGAGCTGGGACTCGCTCGACTGAGCAAAATGTGAGTCCATGAGACGTTCTTTCGGCCGGGTTGTTGTCTGGATGCCGGCCCGACACTGGGGATCAACAGAGTCGCAAGCCAAACATGTCGAAGGATGTAAATGATGCCTATTTCCGTGGCGGAGGCCAGCAAGGAGTCAACGGATGTCAGGCTGTCATTGTATACACGCACCATACGGAGTTGTCGATCTTCGAAAAGCCGTCAGCTTAATGTAACAACAAAGCGTGTGATAAAAGCCGTGCCTCGGATAAAATGGTTTCCATTCATGAAGCGTTACAGTGATTACCAACTCCCACAAACGCCGGTGCCGTCTTATCCACACACAGTATGACTTTGTCGACCTCAATGCCTTTTCCTCTCCTGTCGCCGTTTGTTTGTCTCCTCCGTCCACGCGTCTTCGAAGAGAGCAGGTCGCTCGGAAATATCACCTGACTGAAGGGCCAAACGACGCACAACATGGAAAGCACCAGTTCCGACGGTCATGGTCTGGCCCATGATGATGCACTCACTGACACCTTCAATCTTATCCGTCTTCATGCCCGCAGCGGCGTCAAAGAGATGATCAGGCGTCTTCTCGAACGAAGCCAGCTGGAGAACACTGTCTCTCATCTTGGAAAGTCCGAATCGTGTGATACCGAGGACCTCGCCCTTGTACGTCATGACGTCGGCCAGTAGCTGCATGTGCCGAGGATCAATGTCCATGTCACCCATGACCTCGCCAATCTCATGCGCGATGGTGCTCCTTGCTGCTTCAATGCCCAGGATATCGCGAGCTTCCATGACGTTGTTGGTCGAGGTCTTGGTGCCGTCGACACCTTCGGTGTTCATGCAGGCGCGCAGACCATAGCCTTCGACCAAGACGGTGTGAGTATCGTGCTCCGACGTCTGAATAATCGCTCGCGTCGCGTCCGGATAACCCGAAATGGCAACAAAAGGGACTAGACGGCGGAGATAATTGGCGCGAACTAGCAAGTCCGCCTGTTCTTCCGAGCCCTTGGCCTTGGTTCTCTTAGCGGCGGCGTTCTCGTCAACTCGCACCCTAATCTCGATCCTGCTCTGGCCGATGTGCAAATCGCCGCGCTGAACTTTGAGCTTTCTGTGCCTGCAAATCGCCTCGGCTACATCGTGAATGCCAATGCCCAGTTGCATGTCTGACAAGGCATCCATGTCGATTTGCAGAACGACGTTACCAGCATTGGCCATCCACTCATCCTCGATGTAACTCAGAATGTCGGATACATATGTCTTCTCAATTCGGGCCTTGACGATACGTGCCGCCCTCATTTCTTTGTTCTGCACGAGCGGACATTTGATGACCGGCGTACTAATGAGTTTAGACGCGTTGATGATTTCCTTGATACGCGGCACACCCTGAGTAATACTCATACCGGCGACACCTGCGAAATGGAACGTCTTCAGTGTCATTTGTGTGCCCGGCTCACCAATAGACTGGGCGCCAACAGCTCCGACAGCGTGGCCGGGCTCGACGTGAGCCTTCTTGTACTTTTCGAGACACAACTTGATGAAGAGTTTCAGAGTATTCTCAGACACCTTGGCGACACGGTCTGCATAGGCTTTCTTTGCCTTTTGCTCCTCGTCGATCAAATCGATCTCCATGTGCGCGCCAAGAGGGTCGGATGTCAAGCCAGTGAGTTGCAGAATCCTGGTGAGCTTGGCTGCGCGGCCCGCGACGTATTGCTCGACTGACCTCAAGAAGTCTCTCGCACCCTCGTGCTCATCTGTGTAGCGATCTTCTGTGTTGTCATACTCAAGGTATCCCTGCCCCACCAGATCGCGTCTGGGGTAGCGAGAGCGCTCATGAGATAACATGCTGTCACAGAAGCTTAGAATCTCGTTCGGCAGCAGTGCGGGATCGGTATTGCTCCATGTCAAGTTCTCCGCATGCGACCATGTCCGATCGAAGTGAACCGGCTTTGCCGAACCCTCCATGTCCACGGGGTCAAGCTTATCCGCACCAAATTGGAACTGAACAATCCCTCCGCCGGAAGTTCGAACCGTATCATCGTATCTCGTGGAAAGATCCTCGAGCGACTTCATTAACCTACGGGACATGTATCCCGTTTCAGCCGTTTTGACGGCTGTATCGACCAGACCTTCACGTCCGGACATGGCGTGGAATATGAACTCGGTGGGCAGGAGTCCAGAGTAGAAGCTGTTTCCCACAAACCCCTTGGAAGGAGGCTGGGGTGCGTTCTTGTGAAAGTGAGGCAGGGATCGGTCCTGGAAGCCGTCCGCCACACGGGAGCCGCCGATAATTTGTTGGCCGACGACAGCCACCATCTGAGCCACGTTGATCTCACTACCCTTGGATCCAGACTTGGCCATGACCAGAGGGGCGTTGTTCCGACTGAGAGTCTGGATACATTGAGCTCCTGCTTGGGTTCGAACTTTGCTCAGCAGGCCCGAGATGGAATTTTCAAGCGTCTGTTCCATGTTGCAGCCCGTGGCCTTCTCGAGCTTCCCCTTCTTGTAAGTGTTGATCAGCTCGTCAACCTGAATGTTTGCGTCTTCAATCAACTTCTTCTTCTTCACCAATAGCTGTTCGGTGGGGAAGACGTCGCCTACGCCAATCGAGAAACCTCGATTGGTCAGTTGCCTAGCACATAGCTTGGCTAAGCGGTTCATGGCGGTGACGGCCTCATCGGGGCCGAAATCTCGGAGGATGACGTAGAACACAGAGTCCTTCTTTCCACCTCCGACTGTCGACTTATCCATCCTGCCGCACATGACCTCAGAGTTGCGAATCACCAGCCAGGCGTCTTCCGGGTCCATGTCAGGACACTGCCCGGGCTTAGCCTTGTACTCTCGACACTTCGCGTCAAGGTTGATCTTGACTTGACACTCCTTGTTCGGTCGTAGCATCATGCTGAAGACCTGCTTGCCGGTCCATAGTGCTTGCGGCTTGAGAATCGCTGGCGGCGGAAGATCAAGATGTGTGATGCCGTCCATCATATGCATGACAATGTACGTGAAAGTTTTGCGATCGAAG